TTACACACAAAAGAGCCACAAAGCAGAAGGACTTTTCAAGGGGGACTTCTATCTCCAGTCAGGTTGCACCGACCGATGCCGAAAGGGTGACGAAAGCCAACAGAATGCATGCTTTCAACTTACTTTTGCATTATAGAGTTCAACATTGGGTAGCTTTGTAGCCGTGCGGTTCACCAGATGCCACACAGTTTGGAAAGTTTTGCAACAACAAGCTTTTCATTATTCGGTTACAGTTGGGTTGTTGTTGGGTGCAACAAAGTCGATGTTTGTCGGTGTCTGTGCTGAGGGTGAACTTTTCACGTAATCAGATTAGCTAATTTCAGACCACGACGGGATGAAGTCGAGTTTAAAGCTGGTCTCAAGGTGGTAGCCGGGAGAGCAGCTGGAAATTTGAGTAAACATGCTAATGTCTGGTGATGACAATTTAAAAAAAAAAAACTAGCAAGATATCGCTTGCGGAGACAAATTTGTGCACTGATGTCTGTGCATTGTACACGTAGAATTTTCATATCAATTAAGCTGCCGTGGTAAGTGAAAAACTGTTTTAAAATTATATAAATCAGATTTTGTCATGAAATGTTTAAACTTATAATGGCACTCACCTTTCTAAGTAAAAGTTGGATAACGAACGATAGATTCAGATAAAGCCGTAAAGAAAAATGCTTCTTGGAATTAAACTTTCTAGACGCAATGCTTTTAAAATACTTCTAAACACCAGTGGCATTACTTCTACATACCGTCAAAGTTAACAGTTGACACAAGAAAAAATCTCAATCTCCCATCCAACAAAAGTCTGCGCGCTCTACCAAACGAGTATAGAGTGGCAGCACGATTTGATTTTGCCTGGCTTGAAGCCTGCGATGGGTGAAGTCATTTACACCGATTGACTGCGTCATAATTCTTACTCCATAGTGCCGGAGGCAAACGAGAGCAGATTAATCAAAGTTATGTAAATATTTGACGGCTTTATCTGATTGAATATAAATAAACCAGGGTGGATGACTGGGAGTGCGCACGCGGGATGAAGTGGGATGGGACGCCCATAAATGGCAGGAAGCAATGCTCTCTATCCAAATTTTCAGATTCACTTATTGATGGAGGAATATGGAAACGATCGTTCGATGTAATTGCTGATGTTTGTCGAATTAATTAATGCCCTTTTGTGGGGTAATTTCCAGAACCGAAAACCCCAAGTGCTCGGGAAAGTGCTGATGCTATCGAGCTGTTAGTTCGGGCATGTTTAATGGAAGGTGGGTAACCATAAACTGTCTGTATTATTCATTGCTAATGGGAAACTAATGACTGATTCTGATTGCGGACAAGGTCGGTAGATCAACGACAATCTTCAGCGGTATGTTTGAACTCATGTGCACTAATCAGTGTCAATAAAAGTAACGATGCATTATAGAGACGTTAACGGACATATGTATTAGGGTTTTCAATACCTTTAATATCGATACGCAAAATACCGGCCTTAAACCCAAAACCTAAATGCTGGGTTTAAAACCCTTAAATACCGGTATTTTGTTGGTATGGGTACACTACGTTAGGCATACGGTCGTTAGGCATACGGTCTTTAGGCATACGGTCGTTAGGCATACGGACGTTAGGCATACGGACGTTAGACATACGGACGATAGGCATACGGACGTTAGGCATAAAGTACGATAGGTATAATGGACGTTAGGCATAATTTACCCGATTAATTCCAGAAGGATGATAATGGGGACCGTAACGTGGGTAGATCACCTTTTCATGGTACGCTGCGGGATGTAAGATCTACCACCGATTCCTAGTCCTGACTACTTCAAACTAGAGGAACAGGATTTTTGAGTAATCCAAGGAAGGGTGCACAAACTGGCCGTCTACAAACAAATTATAGCACCTGCGATCCTCTACGCAGCTCCGGTGTTGTAATCATGTGCACAAACTCACAGGAACAAAATCCCGATCGCTCAGAACAGAGTGCTTAGGATGATCCTTGATCGTCCCTTTGACACAAAAATTTCAGACCTCCACCAAAGAGGCGAACGTTCCAAAATTAGATTTCAAAATTGCTGACATTAAGACTAGGTTTGTGCAGAAATGCAATGCATCATAACATGCTTTGATAAGCAATTTGTTTATATGTAGTAGGTTAGGTGTATATAGTAGTTATAGATTAGTTGTAGTTGTAAATAGTAGTTTCAAGAAGTCTCCTATTTCGAATTCAAAGCAAATCAATCCCACCAAAATGTTCATTAGACTGATGCAAAATTTTAAATTTTCGCTCCACAGTGCTCAAACGGTTTCAAATCAGGTCCTGATTAGACTCCCAAAAATAAACTAATTTTGTAGGAAACTGACTTGGCACAAACTATTCGAAGTTTATATGGAAATTACTATGGGAAAACCAAACTTTTTGTTCATTGTCTTCTACCCATTTTCCGTTTTGCTTTTTCAAAAATTTCTATAACTATTTTTACGGGAAATTTTCTTAGCTACAACTTTGCCGGAAATTGTTTTTCAGCCAAATGTCCAATTAAATTGTTATTAATTGTTTAAGAGATTGATAAGCTTATGGCATGATCAAGCAGCTGTTCTATGGGCAACACTGTATTCTGCAGTGTGACATAGTAGCCATGATATTTGTCCTCTATTTTATGCGCCATAAACATGATGTGGTGAATTGTTAGATAGATATGAACAAAAACATTAGTTTTTCCATAGTAATTCCCATACAAACTTGAAATGGTTTGTGCCAAGCCAGTTTCTTACTAAAGTAGTTCAAATTTTAGGAGGCTAAGCAGGACCCAATTTGGAACCGTTTAAGCACTGTGGAGCGAAAATTTCGAATTTTGCATCAGTCTAATGTTCATACTCTACACGCTTAGTTCAGTTCACCCAAATATGGGTGAAGAACACCCATAATCGCGCAAAAGTGCACATACCCATTTTATGGGTAAAGTTGATTTACCCATATATGAATACATGCACCTTACGAATAATTTAGGTAATTTTTACCTATTTATAGGTTATTGATTTTGGGTGAATTTATCTCATATTTGGGTGAATATTTTCATTTTTCTTCTGAAATTTTAACGGAATAAATAAAAAATAAAAATACCTTGTTTAAATTGTACTTTATTTGTATCAAATATTACACATGTACCACCGAACTGGACTATTTCAAAGATTAAAAAAAAGCGGAAACGATCAAATAACTGTGATTTTGCGTCGAATCGTCTCGGTACGTTTTGGCAAAATTTAAGGATGTAAGAAGCACACGCCTATGACCCCAAATTCAATATATTTTTATCATAGTTTTTTTTTCTTCTATTTTTTAAAAACAAAAGTAAAAAATAGCTACCGCAAACTTTAGTAGTCGCAAGATTTTTTTTACTATTCCTATGAAAAATACGTTGAAAATACCAGTTGCTCCTCTTTGCTTCTTGTTTACATTTTTGTGTGTTTTTTTTTCATTTGGCAAATCGTGGATCTATAGACCCAGTATAGGGAAGTGACCATTTTTCACGTGATTCCGGAATTCCAGAGGATCGTTTAATGGCCACATATAGTAGCATAATCGATGTAGTGATGACATTTGTTTGTTGCTCATGATTGTATGCAATTCAGTAAAAGGCTCAGATCTTTAAAAAGTGGAAAAATAATGTAAATAGCAGTCAATCAACTATCATGCAAAATACTTATCTATCAAAGGGAGTCTTACGGAGCAGCACAGAACCAAGAAGGGAAAATTGAAAATAATTACTATTACTTCCTTAAAATTACTATCCAGCCAGCAATGGAAACGGTGGATGACACGGCGAGGTAAGTTTGTTTCTCCAAATAATGTAGAATTTCCACCAAGCTACTTACGAATTACGGCACTTTGAATGTAAGCAGCAAACACGACGGATAATAATTAATTATTAATATTGCATCGCACATGAAGCGAAAGTTAACGGTTTTGAAAATGTTTAGTTTTTCATCCAAATATGGGTAAAGTTTAATAACCCATATTTGGGTTAAGTCGTTTTACTCACAATGTAAGTAAATTTCACCGATTTTTGTCAGTATTATTTACCCATATTGTAGGTATTGTATCAGAAACCCAAATATGGGTGAATCTACTACCTATTTATGGGTGAACTGAACTAAGCGTGTATGACCGGCATTGCCGGCACATTCCTTCCAATGAAGTAAAAATATTGTAAACATTGCTGAACATACTGCGAACAGATAAAAATACGTCACTGCCAACAGCTGTTTCGTGTAAAAAGATAAACATTGCAATGAAATACGAACACCTCTAAAAATTTGCTCATTTCACTAACACCAAAAAGCACTTTGGCTCAGAATTTATATAAATTGCATTCCTACGGCACACTGAGAAAAAGGTTGACCCAATATTGGTGTGCGGAGGGACCTACCACTTGTGTTGACCTACAATATTTTTATTTTAATAAACCTACTGCTACAACTGAATCCATTGGAACCAACTCTCGAATTGTAACTTAAATCTTCAATGAGTAAATTAAGGTAGAAAGAGCTTTTGGAACTTTACGAGATACTGACACAGGATTTAAAGCAACGACTCTATAATCTCAAAACATTCCTGCCAACTTCAACTGAAAGTTATCGTGTCTTCTTCCTGTCCGCAAATATTTTCAGCATAAATCACAGTGTATTTTTTAAATCATATTTGAAACACATTGATAGAAACATGAAGTCATGGAATTTAAAAAAATATACACTTTGTTTTCAACTCTGAAGCTCTGGGAATATTGTAAACCCTAAAAACGACTTCAAACTATCCGGTCGCAATTGATGACATGGTCGTTTGTAACCCGTGAGCCACTACTGGTTGGCAACCACTGTTCTAAATCTACTGTAATTTATATGAAGCCTTGATTCAATCACCGAACAACGCCTGCTCTTACCTTGAACGCCATCCACAACGTTATTTGTCCACGCCAAGAAAAAAAATAAAATCAATCCAATCAAACTCGAGTACTTACTAGCAGCAGTATTATTTCCTTGAAATCCATGTTTATCAACTCAGATCGTCTACCATTTTTTATTTATTATCTGCAACGAAACGAAAGGAGAAGAAAAATCATCAGTAAAAATATGGTTTATGGAATATGACCCGCTGGTTGGTCAATAAAATATATCGGTACTAGGCAAGGCCGTTAAAACCCTGAAGCAAGAAATCGAACAAGATTTATTCATTCACTTGGCTTTTCAGTTGCCTGTCAACTGCAAACAGCATTAAGTGACCCCATTTAAATAAGTGCTCTATATGCATCAAAGCTCTTCCAGCAGTGTGACCTCCCGGCTGAACTCAGTTCTCGAATTGTACCGGCAAACCGGTCGTATCCTCTCTGCATTAAAGTTGAACACAAAGGAAAACTTATCCTTTCCGTAGACTGAGGGCGCGGGAAAAACCGATTCTGAAAAAGACATTTTTCTTCCGGGCGACTTTTCACCAACTGCACAAGAACGGGTTCCTCGGGTGGTTATGTGTTTAGGGGTTCTTTTTCTTTGTGGTTTTTCTACTGATTCGCAATGGCAGGGATAGTGTGGAGGGCTGTTATTGAAAATTGGTATCAAATTTTATGATTCAATAATAAGCCGCAAGCTTTGCCATCGTTTTTTTTTCAAATTGGGGCTTCTGTGGTTTTCACGGGTTTTGTGCTCGAGGGAGAATTGATTTTTTTCAGTTTCTTTAAACGATGTTTGTGGATATGGAGCATGTACCATGAAAGGGTACATTTGGGATCTCATGAGCTCGTTTTTCATTTGAAAGTAGCTTAGTTTTAATGAATGTATATTGAGGTTTGGATGAAGAAGATTATGTATTTACTTTTAATTTTTTTGATATAAGTATAATTTGAATAAACATTTTTGCCAATGCACGTCATGCATCTAGCAAAACAACATTAGTATATCTAATGCAAAGCATTACCCTGTTATTAAAATAAACTGATATCCGCATTGGCTGCAGCAAAATCTTCAATTAATGGTTCAAGATTAGGGTGAATCTGCTTTTGTAAACAAGGCCAATCGCCGATTCCTCACAATTAAAAGCTCACGAAAACTTATCAGTCCCATTTGGTTTTTCATCAGTTTTGAGAAAATCTCAGGAATAGTGTTTGTTTTTATCGTACTTTAGAAAATCACACTGAAAATTACAGTTTTATATGGCGAAAACGTGAAAAAATACCAAATCATGTGCGTCCAATTTTTAAAGAACTAAAATATTCGAAATCATTAAGACCACCCTCCAGTTTAATTCATAGCACTAAATTTTTAGCTAACTACTTTGAGATATTTTGTAATTTCTCTTATATCGCTCTATCTTTGGTTCAATCGTCAGAGTGCTGTCAAAATTGTGTGGTTGCCATGAAAACGCCTGTGATTGTTGTGAAGGAATTGATTATGGAGTTTTGTGTTTTTGTTCTTATGAGGGTAATTGATTTCATCTTTCAGAACTTGTCTTCTATTACACCAGTTCTCGCTCAAAGTTGAACCGAGTATCGATGTATGGTTCCGTTGACTAGTTGCTTTACATGACAGCATATCAATGGTTGTCTTCGTGTATCGTAGCTGGATGAGATTGGACTTGGAAAACCCTGCATCTATTGATAGCAATATTGCTGTTTTCTAGCGATATAGTTGATTGAGCCTCTTTCGAAGTTGAAAACAATACTGGAATTGGAACTGCTATCCACTTTGTCCAGTTTGTTCTACATCAACTAATCCTTCAGGACCAACGCTTCCATCAGGCTTAAGCTTGAACTCAATTATAGCTTTCATTTTCTGTTCTTTTCGATCCAATCTACTTTGAGCTTGAGCTTGAGCTTGATTGACCGCCCACGGTTGCTACTCTGTTATTATCAGATCAGCTGTAATTACACAGAGAACCAATAGACGATGCTTGGGACTAGCAATCATCATCAATGTGTAAAAACTGGTGATCTTAAATTAGGCAGTACCAGCGCCGGCCGCGCCCGAACACAGGTCAAAAAAGGAATGAGCCGAGAACACCTCTGAGGAAGCCGAGAACACCTCTGCACTTCCACGAGAAATCACTGGGATGTTGGATAAGAGGGTTGGGTTTGCAGCAGGGTTCGTTTTGGTAAACGATAAGCTGAATTGATGTCCTAACGATCATATAACGCGAAGGAGCTTGGGACTAAACTCACGGTCTTCTGCTCAGTAAGCAAAAACGCTTGCCACAAGGCAGACGAGCACCTTTTTAATCACCGAGTTGCTGTTATTACCATGTAGTCATATTAACAAATAAAACGATTGACGAATCTTGAATGTGGATAGGGCTGAGATTAGACTCATGATGTTCTGCTCAGTAAGCAAAAACGGTTGCTCTAAGGCCACCGAGCCCCTCATATCACATAATACCGTTGCTCAAATTGTTGTATCCATTCAAACCCGGAACCAACGACAACAACGAGTTTCGCAAAATACACGATACACAAGCGATTTTACCATAAATCTCTTTGATATGTAAGGACCTGGGACCGCGTTTTTCTGTTCAGTAAGCAGGCCACTGTAACCGACGATCTTTCAAATCCAAAAACTAACAACTACGAAAAAGTACTTAGGCCTTCATTAAGTTCCACTTTCACGCGATGTTCAATGACAGGGTCCTATCCAGGATTACATCTGAACAATCCAAATCTGGCCAACGCCCACCCTAAACCTAAACCTGTTCTAATCCACCTGAAATGACTAACGAATGGAAGACTTTGACTACCCAGCCATGCAATAGTCTCATTCCGTGCCTTATGGCAACTTGATGATTCTATTGCGCTCATCTTCTGGCACCACCCAGGGGAGACTTGGTCCTGTACCCAATGCTTAACTTATCTCCATTCCACTCAGCTACTCGCAATTTCTTGTGATATAGTGGGCGGAATATTATTATTTGAGACAATTCAATGCAGACGTCTTTCCAAATTTGGCAGATCGACAGGTAATCGGTGAGTTACCACGATAGTTGCTATTCAACAACTCGACAACGTCCCATCGTCAACGCCTGCTATGAGAATTTCCCATTGCAGACGCCAACGAAATGACGTCATCGAGCTATCGATCAACTACCCTGGTTATCGCCTGGTACCTTATAGCACGATGCTAGGAGGCAAACCGGAAGAATCGATGAGCTACCTCTCCCCCCTTTTCGATCCAATCTACTTTGATAGATTAACTGTATTTTCTAATTAACACCCCTCATAATTTTCACTGCACTCAAAATATCGTGTCTATACAGTCAGCCGTTGATTCTGACTCAAATTCGCGGAAACGCAGATTACTCGTAGACTGAGTAAATTTTCCACGATTTTCTTCAAAAACCTGCTCGAGTATGAACAAAATCGGGCCCAATTGTACTCGAAGATTGAGTAAAATTCTTCGCAAATTTCCACGCATTTGGGGCAAATTGTCTAAGGGAAATGTGGCTAAAATAAACATAGCAGGAACACTTGACATTTTCAACAGTGAAATCATAAAAAAATATGTGAATATGAACAATTGAAAGGGTAGAAGAATGAATTATCTGTATTCAAAATCCGTTGATATTTTGATGAATAAACCCTTAAATTGTCAAGTGTTCGTTTTACCACTACTTCCCCTATGAGTGACCTATGTTTTGCAAAATTGATTTAGAGGATTGCAATTAGATAAATCTTCGTTTTTCCCATGTAAACTTTCCAGAAATATGTCAACTTTAAGCGAGAGAGATCTCTAAAAATTAGATTTTGTAAATTCTTTAGAACATTAGAATAAATGCAATCACTTCTGGTTTTCAGTATGTTATTAAGCAACAATTCAGTTGAAAAAATCGAAAACTTGGAGAGTTTAGATAAACATGGCCCACTTAGCAATGGAACAAACTCTTTGCTTATTACAGCGTTTCTAGTGGACGTTTTCGGAAGCTTTTGACATCTATTTGTTGACAAGAACCATAACAATAAGACTTTTTTCAGTTCACACAAGGCTCTTGTCACCATGCAAGAAGGCTGTAAAAAAAAATTGTGCTCAGTCACCTGGAAAATCCGTAGTTGTCCCACTCCGGTGGCAGAAACGTCGTCCATCAACATTTTGTTTGAAGCCAAAATAGTTGGTTCTTTGCAGGGTACTGGCAACCCCATATCAATTCTTTGCGTTTGACAGTAGGCAAGTTCACGGGCCTTATTTAAATAACTGACGTATACATGAAGGACAGGGACGCAACTTTGTATAAACATTGAGAAATTATGGTCTGTCCACATAAATGTTTCATTTGTTGCGCGGCAAAATAAACATGATAAATGTTCAACTAGCGCGTACATGAAGGGATTAAATTATAATAATTTTTAAATTAAGCAAGTTAATCATGAAAAATACAAGTTTCATTAATGATTATTCACATCAGATTTTTTAACGCATACCTGTCTTCAATGCGTATATAAAAATAGCATAAAACCTGTAGACTACAGTGCTGACATCACCAATGGTGGTGGCTTCAGCAACCCTCCTTCTTGGCAGAGGATTGAGTGGTCCGCGTCCAACCTGGCTAAAGTGTTGAATTTTCTAGAAACACCGTATGCCACGTGCTCAAAACGAGCAGGGAAACCATGACGACGAATCGGAAGCCTCAAAGTAAACGTCGGAGTGGAACTGTCAACCGTCAGCTCGTGAGGTCCATCAGAAGCAACCCAGGTATGTCGGATCGTGATTTGAGTAAGAAGTATGATGCCCGTAGTAGAACTCGTGCTCGAAATCTAGATGAAAACCTGCTGACCAAGTCCGGAGGGTGCATACTTATGGATGTTAAAACCTTTGTGAAGGCCGGTTTCGTACAGCTTCCAGTACCAAATTTTTACAAGGCGAAGGCTCAAGGAGGTGTCCCTGGCAGATTCAAGTTTGTTTTTTTGCGGATGAATTCGGACTCAAATATATGATGTTTATTGATTTATTTGATAAGGCTCAAACGAATTAACTTTACAGAGCCAAGGATTCTTGGTCCCTATACAATACATCTTAAAACTATAGTCAAAAGGTACAACACAATAAACTCTTTATCT